AGAAGCCATGAATTAATTTACGCATTAATCTCCTTTCCGTGGAGACCAGATTATCCATAAAGAATCGTCAAGCGTCACACCGGTCTTGCATTCTATCCTGGCACCTGTTAAACAATAAGCCTAAGGTGCACCCACCACAAAACTACAGTCAGAAACAATGCTATTCAATATCGCGGCAGAATGGATACATTCTTCCTATTTCGTATTCGAGAAATCCCTGTAATGTCAGCGTCGTTAAATAAATCACAAAAATATAATAAATAATATGCAGTATGAAGTAAAACGACGACCGCCTCTGTGGTCTAGTGGTCAGAGTTCCTGGCTACAGATCCAGATGTTCCGGGTTCGATTCCCGGCGTTACCAGATTTACTGAGAAGTAGTGGGTCGAATTGGTCCACTCAGTCTCGTGATGATAATTGAGGAGCTATTTCAAGGAAATAGCGGCTCCGATCTAGAACCCCGAGATTAACGGCCGAGCGGATACGTTGCGCTGACCACGTGACACCTAACATCCGCAAAAGTTGGCACTAACTTCGCCGACAAGCGGCGGTCGCTCGGTCGGTATAGTTCGCTTGCGGGCTACACGCCATGGAGTTTACTTTTTTGTTTTTATGAAGTAAAATGAAAGTAGTATAAAATTATTTACACAAAGGCAGAAATACTACACATGTAATAACTGTAAAGTCCACGCAGTTCACAGAAAGTCAATTGAAAAGTTCCCGAATTACGTATTTTAAGGAAGTGTGGCAACACTCCCGAGTATGTACTCCGCAAAAAAATGCTCTTCTCTCCCATCAGCCTTTAAACTGTAAGGAGTATTAGTCGCGCCTGCAGCTTGCTTTGTTCTGTGGTAACATTCTCTATGCGAAATCTTTGTAAACATGTGACGAAAACTTATACAATAAAGACATAGTCTCAATTCCCTGGAAGAATGTAAATCTGTATAAACTCCTATAAAATATTAAAAGCAGCCTACCGTGTGGAGTTAAGCCAGGTATAGAACCTTTAGAATTATCAGAGAGGTCCAAGGAAGGTGCGGCAAAGGTGAATTCTTAGGAAAGAAATAAATGGTTCGAACGGATAAAAATATGCATCAAATTCATGGCGGCAAATTTTTACATCCCGAAGAAATAGGCACCAGTATGAACAATTTTAGTCAAATTAAAAAACCGAAATGTATGCTAAAATGGGTCTAAAAATACTGAGCGATGATAAAATAATTACGCGACATGAAATTTGTCCCGCCAATCTTCACAAAGTGAACACTGAAGAAAACCTCACACCCTTAAAGAAACTTGGACTTCATACAATCACGTCCCCAAACACTGCACCCGAGTACGTCAAACCAAAACGGTAAAAACAGAGTAGTTCCTCTTTACTTCCCTTCTGATACACTGTTCATTCAGAATTCGTTCCTGAAACCAGATATCTTATTATCTTCACGTCTTTCGTCATATGAGATACATATTTTTCAGAAAAATGTCAAATCTTCGGTCAGATTAATTTTTCACCAAGACAACGTACCAGAGCAGTGAGTCCTAAATTAATTGGGTGTCAGTTATCAACTTTCATGTAACGGGTTTACAAAGTCCAACATAATCTTGGCATAGCTCCTAACGACTTCATCCTATTCTGCGAACTTAACTGTTTAAAAGGTACGCACTCTGAGTAACTGAAGACAGAACAGAACAAAATGACTGTACTCAAAAAGGTGCCAGAAGACTCCAAAAGTGATGTCCCTCCCAGAAGCATAGATTCCTTTTATTTAATACCCATGAATATTTAATATTTATTTCAACTGTCCGGCAGATTCTGGGTCCAAGCCCGTAAAGAATGGGAAACCCCGTGACATGACAAAACATTAGAGAGAAGATTTGAACATCTTCGAACTAACTGTGTAAGTGTGTGTCTGCGCGCGCTTGCGTACGAGTGCGGAGGCTTCTATATATTCGACCTGTTTTACATGAGGTTATATTTTTTATAAGACTGTGTCAGAGCAAGACATACATCGCAGGTCTCCGGGGGTGTCTATACGAGCAGTATGTAACACATACAATTATTTTTTAAAAATGTGCTTTTCTTTCTCAATTTATTTACACAATTTTCAAAGTTAAGTTTCATGACGCGATTAGGACTCAACTCGATACAGAGGGAAATTTACGCTTTCACGTTGAAGAGAGTGACTGACAGGCCTACTGATTACTCAATATCAGTAATGAAATAATTTCGCTGGAAATCTATGATTATAAGAATGTCATTGTTGTACTAAGTTAATCCGCAGGGCAAACGCTGGAGACAAACATGGCAAAAGTCTTGTGTCTAGTGAATACGTATAAAACACAATCCAACATCAATACTAATACTGGTTCTGTTCAAACTGTTAAATAATCGAATACAAAAATTTTTATTGATGATAGAACACAGCAAGCCATTCGAATGACAATGTCGCTCTGTTCCGCAACAAATACTTCCCCAGAAGATGAAATGCTCATGTCAAATACCCCAAGCGATATGGAAAATATCCTCAAACAGCAGATGATATTGTTCGTTTATTTCGTAGTTCATTTAACAATACTTCTCCAAAAGCACTGGATATAACTAACTTCACTGAGCTGCGCCCTTCTTGAGAAGCCGCCAGTTGTGCAGCCATTTCAGAACTTCCCAACTTTTTATGGAAGCCGAAGGTTCATTATCGTGTTCACAAGAGCCTTCTATTCGTCCCTATCTTGAGCCAGAAGAATCCAGTTCATACAACCCCATCCTATCACTCTAAGATCCATCTTAACATCCTCCCACTTACCTCTAGGTCTTCCTAGTGGTCTCCTTCCTTCTAGTTTTCCCACCAATATCCTGTACGAGCACATGTAAATGTTCGCACAGAATCTATACGCACATTTATGATGTCTGAAAATACAGATCACGTGCACATCTATGCCGTCACTGATTTATTTCCAGGAAACGGGATGCTATATAAAGAACACTCGCTATTTTCTGGGATGGGCCGCGGCGGCACGGGTTCGATCCCGGGTCTGATCAAGTGGGATTTGTGATGGACAAAGTGGCACTTCGGTTTCCCCTGCCAATCTTCATTCCACAATTTGCTCCACAATCACCCTCACATATCATCTGGGGCTGGTACAATAGGCCGGAAGTGGCCGCAGTACAAGGGACTTAGTCCCACCCCCCTAGCAATAAAAAAAATCTTCTAGGATATCACGCCATGCAGTCCGTTGACTCAATGGACTGCATGGCGTTATATCTTAGGAGAAATTAAGCTTCATTACCACCGCTGTGAGAGCCTCAAATCCTACGCAGCTATGTACTTTGTGCTGCCGCCATGCTCTTTCACATTCTAAATATATTAACTGAACAAAACATTGTACGTTTCTCTACGAACCATTAGCATACAGGGTTTAAGGATCCTATGCTAATCCCCTAGTGCTACTGCCAGCTCAAACGTTCGCGCGCGCACCATGTCACAACTACTGATGAGAGGAAATTAAAAATTACATACGTGGGGGAGATTCTAGTGGAACGATGTTCATGCCATGATTAGTGAAGTTCTATCTAGTGGTCCAAACGTTATTCAGGAGGAAAAATAACATCTATGAACAATGAGAATGCGAAGGGATAGTTCATTTAATGACGTCTTCTCAGCTGCACAGTTTATACAGTGCCGAATAACACTGCAAGCGCCTTAGACCATGTGGCCTTTATCTGCTGACGATTCCAGACGTCGTAGAGACTAACAAGGAAGACAATATCAGGATACTGGTGAAGCGAAAATCAAAAGACAGGCAATACCCAAAGGCTGATACGTAATATTTATGATGTAAGGCTTCACATATATTGTTTTAGTGTAGATTAGACTATAATATTAAAAACAGAGCAACCCAAAATTTACATATGACTTAAGTAGAATCTTATCGATTTGTTAAAAGTAGCTCATAACACGACTCGTGCACTGCAAAGATAATTGATATATGTAATTTTCTGGATATTGTTAAGCGGTGAATATTAAACAAAGTATATAATTTTTTGACTGCATAGTATTAGCTGTAGAGCAATTAGCCTTGTATTAAAACTGAAACACGTGAAAGACGCACCTGGCCACTGATGAGAGGACTATAGGTTATTTAATGACGCTTTCGGTATCGAGACTATAAAGCGTAAGATGATGGGTGACTGATGAACTGGAAAGGATTCTAAAGGAAACGAGTAGTATCTCAGAACTTGTGTGAAGTGTCTCAGGAAATCCAAGGTAATTCTGTCAGAATAACTTGTGTCACGGACGGGAGTTGAACCGAGTATCTACGGAATACAAGTCTAGAGCGTTACCCGTAGACCAATCCGTTCGGTATGATTATATTGCAATGAATCTTAAAAAAAAAATACAGTGGACGGGTATGGTATTGTTCATTTTGGCTTAGGATAGTAACCAGTAAACATGGCGAACCTTTGCGTTCCATAAAAGTCGGGGAAATTTCTTGACTACCTACGCGACTATCAGTTTCTCAAAAAGAATTTTATTCCAAAGACTTACTTAATTGGTTGGTCAATTCATAAACCGATAACTTATGCAAAATAGCATAAATGCATTTCTAAAATATCTTCACGCCTTTAAAGCACACCTTTCCACGCCTGTATGTACACCCAAACATTTATCACACGCATGCAATGGCATTTACGGGTATCGGTGATGGCAGGCTCTATAGCATTAATAATAATTAGTGAAATTATATGCATTATTATAAATTTCTGTTAATCAGTTTTAATCAAGCTACTATAACCTGCACAAGTCATTTTAGATGTATGCTTCACTATTATACACATAGTAGTTTGACTGCTCTTATGCTCGCCTCCACCCACCCCCCCTTCCGCAAAACCACAGCACTAGGAATCCATGTATTGAGAAACGTGCAAGAATTAAGTTTTCTAAAGAAGCGGTGATGGCTAAAGGAGAGGAGGGACTGAAATAATAGATGTTGATCCTGCTTACCGAGATCAGGCAGAGGATGTCCTGGAAACAAGGTCAAGCAGCAGCAGCAGAACGGACACTTATCAGAGCGATGCCTCAACCCAACTGATGCTACGACGAAATCGGCCACTGAATAAATCCCTAGAACAAGCATGAGAACGCATGTATTTTGCTTGTTGCCATGGTTCCGGGCACGTCAACCCCACCAGCCCTCTACCTGCCCCTCTAATATTACCTAACACCTACACCACTTTGTGAAGTATCACAAGCTATCTCACAGCCCTTACGTCTATATTCCACGAGCGGCAAATAAGAGCACCAGTACACTTTGCAGGCCTAACTGAAATGCACTAATCAAACCAAACTACGGGAGCTGTTTCATTTATAACATCTCTGTAGGTAGAAGCATTTATAGTATGCGCACACACACACACACACACACACATCAACGCTACGCTACGCTCATCTCAGCACTCCGTCCTTCTACTGACAGTCTCTCAAATTCACTTATCTAAGATTTCTCAACTGCACAGCTTACAGCGTCTAATAAGGACACAGAAGAAGTGCTGGCCCCTTTTAAGAATTATTCCAGCATTTGGTTGGGAGGGACTGAGAAAATCCAAGCAAATTTCAGTCAGGGCAGCCTGCCGACGATGGTTACAACGACTGCCGTCAGAGCAGTATGGAAATTGCAGAAGTGAAAATGGTGTCAGCGGTTCTTCCAACGAGCGAAATGACGCGAAATGAAACATTTGTTATATTTGGGGCAATATACCAAGGAGCAAGAGCTTCCAAAAATATAACATGTTTTCCCGTTCACAATTATGAGTCATGTATAAACAACAAAACTGCAACTTAAATATGGCGGTGACAATAAGATTAAATATGCGGCGAGCATAAATTATGAACGCTGAAGAAGCGAACAACTAAAGGCAACTTTCAAGAAAAATAAGATAGTTCCCCAAAATGAATTAACACAAAATTGATCACGCATAAACAGTAGTCTTAACGAAAAGAGAAAATTATAGAAAGTGATAATTTTCAACGATAATCACAAAGAGCATAAGGATGGCCTACCGCCCCATCATTCTAATGCACATATCTGGCTAGTTTCTGTATCCACGCTGGAAAAAGACGTAATTCTTAAGTTAATTTATATGCCAACTACAAATATGCCGTTCCGAAATAAATCTTCAAGAAAAGCGCAGTGTAGAGCTATCCCTCTAACAGGCCGTGAAGGCCCATAGGGTTGTGAGACGTTGAGGCTCGCACACTATCTAGACAATCGGCTCACAGATGGCGGTAAGGTTGTCAGCCTTACGCGCCGGCCTCACATTTACCCCCAGAAGATTCCTGGTACTCATTTCTGTTAGAGGCTGAGTCGACCCCGGGCCATAGTGCGGCTGCAAAGATTCGGTAAATTAAAAAAAATTCAGCTCATCGGGACTGGAACCCGCTACCTTCCGGCTTGTAGCATAGTGCCTCAACCAACTAAGGTACCGCGAATAGCACAGTGTATAGATGTAAATAAGGGTTCAGGCATCTCAACCTACACAGACATGCACACAGAGACCTTCTACACCAGAGATCACAAGCGACAAGAGCTCAACAGGCTAACGGCGAAACATTAAACCACATGCAAAATGAAGGTTCACTCAATATGCAAAATACGTACGTACAATGAAATGTTCAAGAAATCGTTGACAAACATTCCACACATTACAAAACTCAAGAAAATCATAAGTGTGGACGTGAAGACTGAAACTTCACTTAACGTGCAAATTACATATAATGAAATGTCCAAAACACGTTAATAAAGCGTAAGTATTTCAGGAAACAAATTGTTAATAAGATCTAAAAGTTTGTGATGATGGTAAATTGTTACAATTATTATTTTGCTGGACATTATCCATCATCTTGTCTTATCATTATCTTGTCTTAGACAAGATGATGGATAATCTCCTTTTGTTGTGCTTGTATACCACAAGGAGTATTGCTTCTCTCCTGGTATGATTTCATTCTAGATATTTTTCTCTGGTGCTAAGCCTCAAATTATGATAGCTTCAATATCTCTTAGCTCTCACAGATGGATTAAGTTGTGCTTCTTTTATGAATCCCTTCGGAAATTGGCATAGTTGTCCGGAGATAGGGGCTAGCTCTGTCTATTGGACCCAACTGAGTAGGTTTTACCTGAAGACGGGGACAGATTCCAGTTCTCGAAACGTTGTGTTTTTTAATAGAAACTAGACTGTTTTTTAGAATAGACAAGATGATGGATAATGTCCAGCAAAATAATAATTGAAACAAATTGTTGTTTACATCCCATAAATTACGAAACACAAAAGAACCATAAGTGTGGACATGTGGACTGAAGCTGAATACAGAACGGCTTGACCACTCATGGTGCCTTCAATGATCAACCAAAATATTTACAACACAAATACTTTATCACGTAATCAAATGAAATGCCGTTAATTTTCATTCCTATGCATTTTAGTTCATGATAGATGTTACAGAAACCTGGCATACATTTCGTGGGTACACCATATCCTTACAGGGTCAATGTGTGAGAAGATGAATATGCCTCTTACTTGATACTGCGATTAATGTTCTGAGCTAGGGCAGTTTATTGAGACAGTTCGTAGTATGACTCAGTAACATTAAAACAATCAGGTAACGGCATATAAGATGTGAGACCTCAAGCACACGTCAGACATATGACTCTACTGCACAATGTTCCGTCTAAAATACAAACCCTCCTTTATTTGAAATGTTCTACGGCCCGAAGAAAATAATGACATTTAATGAACGGAAAAACAATCCCTCAGAGATTTCATGACCCCTCGTATCCGCTCCGTCTGCCTCGAAACGACAATGGCCAACAGTCAAGTGTTTGTCATGAGCGTTGTGAATGAATCGCACGACGACTGTTTTCACTGCTAAACTTACTGGTTCGTACTGTGACTACTGAAACCTTTCCGACTACCCTTCAATGTTTCAAGTTCAACTGAAGATCTGATAATAGTGTTACATTCTTCTGCCTGCACTCCGACCTGCTATGCCACAATCAGACACGACAACAGATTATTAAGGGGGGGGGGCGGTGTAAATGACGTCGAAACGGGATGAAGAAACCAGAATATATCGGTAAGTAGTGATCTTTAATATTCATTGTTCTCTACAATATAAAATTGAACAGTCCTCCTCTCCTAGTATTTATGACATCTAATCGGGCACATCCCTGTCACAGATACAAAATTGACCCCGTTCATGAGAAAAACTAGCAGGAGATCATGGACCACTATAAAAATAAATAAATAAAATATAAAATTGACCCCGTTCATGAGAAAGCAGGATTTCATGGACCATTATAAAAATGAATAAATAAATAATAAAATAACAAAATAAAGACAGCAGCAACGACAACGAGTGCGTATAATACTCAGTAACAGTGCAACGTAGATAGTTAGTTATTGGAGAGGGTGGGTTTCCCCATGCACTGAGACCTGTATTGGTCCATTGTGCTTCCCTCTATGATTTCTACCAGTCTCTATATCCTACCGGTACTGGTGCTTACCATCAGTCCCGCCCAGCCAGCGAGACCGGCTCTAATGGCTGAGAGGTATCTATAATGCTTCCTCCATCTACCAGAGGTACTAGAGACTGCTGTTGGGCGGGAAACGTCCGTAATTTGGCTGTGACCTCCTTTGGAGATATGAGGTTCTTTTACGTGCCGTAAAGCTACAACACGGGACCCACGGCTTAAAGTGCCTCCCGGAGGACTTGTTCCCTGAATTTTTCCGCCCTTAAAAATTCGACGACCTCCGCCGGGTATTTGAACCCGCGTACTACGAGTCATGAGGTGGGAACGTTACCTCTAGACTACGGAGGCCACTTTACAGTGCAACGTAAGACTATATACGCTAAATGAAGCCTCTCTGGATAGAAAGAATGAGATCCTTTAGATATCCGTTATAAGCGTATTCTCACTGAAAGAGTATCAATCTTTAATTTCAACAAATCACATTCAAAACTAATACAGTCACCAGATGACTGAAAGCAGTAAACGTCTCCTGAGGGTTTATACCATAACAAATATTCTCCTTAACCACTTTCTTCAATATTATGCACAAACTCTCCTACAAGTACTGAAGCTGTATGTATAAACGCCTCATTCATCGTCCTATTTGTAGAATGGCTTAATTCAGCGACTCCATTTTATGGCACTCCCCAGTCTATTTTTGCTCTGGCTTTGGCTAGACATGCTCCTACGCAATAACCTCAGTACATTGTAAGCAGAACCCACAGAACTCTGCTTGCTGGGCTTATTCTTCGACCCTCAAGATGGAGGCAATACAATCCTTCAAACACCGCTGAGCATCTACAAACAACACGGAGTTGCACTATCAATGTCCCACTGACCACATATGGGCGGAGAAATGGTTTCCAAGTCGGCGGTGGTAGAACCATCAACAGAAAATAAGCTGGTTTTCAAGCAGATGAAGAGATCCACAAACTCGTTCATTTTATTTGGAATAAGGAAGAACTGCCTGATAAGTGTAAGGGTCCATTATTGTACAAATTTAAAAGAAGGGCGACAGAATTCTGCTTCATTAATCCGGAATATGCCGGTCACGGTAGCCGAGCGGTTTAAGGCATGCACTGTCTTCGCTCGCTCGGATGCCAGGATAGTGGGCTCGAATCCCACTCACGGCATGGATGTTTGTGTGCGTTTTTCTGTGTTTGTGTACAGGTAGAGGCTTTGCGACGAGCTGATCACCCGCCCAAGGAGTCCTACCGAACGTGTAAGATCTAAAAAAACCGAAGTGAACGGAGAAGTTCATGGAGGTAGGCCTAGGCCCACTGGGGCTGTAGTGCAAAGGAAAAAAAAAAATCCGGAATATTGCTTAACCCAGACGACCTCTCCCCCACTCCCAATTACTCCAGATTAGTGAGTGTACACTGTACTACTGCCTTCAACTTCATACACAATTTTATACAATGTCCTTTTGTGAAGGTTAGATCCATACGTAGACGAAATTACTGGGGATCGTCAGTGTGGGTTTCTATGCAACATTAAGTATTGATCAGATTTTTTGCATTCGTCAGGTAATAGAGAAAAAAAAATGAGAGCACAATGA